CAGATTTACCAACCCCGTAAGCTATTGGTAGTATCCCATTGTTAGCATCCATGGCTACTGCTAATAAGTTTACTCCAAGGTATCAACCTTTTAAATGTGCTCCGTCAACTATAATAACTGGGCGCATGCAAGGAATAAACGAACAAATCTACAAAATCATATACACAAGAAATATAATCATTTAAATGTGAAATGCATGTAACTAACAAAAATGAGTCAACAAAATTATATTGATTTACTAACCGCAGCACCAATGGCGATAAACAACAACTCAAAGCGTCCATCTCTATCTGTTTTGATATGAGTTACCGACCCAGGATTTTTCAGCTTTAAATTGTGACAATAAGCCGGCAGTTGGGCAAACGATGCTTCTGGCGACCCCCTCAACAATTCCAAGGCATAACATTTGGCTCTCCAAGCTTGAGAATATGAGATACTAATCTTGAACCGAGCATTCATGTTAGTCGTAATTTCATGTCCCCGATATACCCTGTCATTTAAAAACATTAACTCAGCCAGAAAACCACCCAACACCTTTTTGTTTGCCTGTCTATGGTGAGGAAAAACTTGGGTTCTGAACATGTATGTTTATCAATAAACTTACTAACTTGAAACATTTCGCAATCTTTTATCCTCTTTGCAATCATACGCCACGTACAGTTTTTGTCAATCATACACCTTGTTTCGAAACGATCTTTGCTTGATTTGTTAACTTTTAGTTGATAGCCATATTCCACACATTTCGTATACAAAGCTATCTTCAAGTCTTCCTTTGTATCAAAACAATCATCTTTCTTGATACGAATAATTTTTGTGTAACAATCAACTGTTATTTTTACCAACTCTTCTTCCGGTATCTGAAGTAATTCTGGCATATTCCAGTTATACTCCCGTGGTATTTTCTTCGGGGACTTTTCTTTGGGGATTTCTTCTTCTTCTTTTTCTTCTTCAGGGTTATATGAATTACAGAATGGATGATCATTCACAGTCGTAACTTCCTCCTCATTATCATCAACAACATCTTTCTCGGCAGCGACTGTTTCATCATCAAAATTCGGGTATTGACCAATATCAAAATCATTACACGCAGGGTCTGTTTCTTCTTCTGAAACATCATCAAAATCCGAGTATTGACCAAGATCAAAGTCCGGGTATTTACCAAGATCAAATTTCGAATACCGACTAGTACTCATAATTTTTTCTGTTGGCTCGTCATCGTCTAACTGGTTAATACGAAAACCGAAATTTGGTGCTGAAAGTTAATTGGGATTTGGATTAGGGAAAGGTTGTGGGTTTTGAGATTGTGTTTGATATTGGAAATATAGTGAAACAAAATTTGCTTGGTGATGAAATTGTGGTAGAACCATTAAATTTTGAGCACCATAAACTGGGGTTGAAAAACTTAGTTGATTACTACCCACTACTGACCCAACTTCACTACTTCTAGGTTCAACAACATATAATGTAACATCATCTTGCGAAACACTATTGTAAGCAATGAATCGTTCAACATCTTCATTGTCGGTTAACAAATAAACTTTACATTTTCTCTGATAAGATAGCCTAAATCCACTTAAGGGATCTAAATTCAATTTATTTGCAACACGTAACATTAGAGTTTCATAAGTTAACTTTTTTAATGACAATTTTAGTTGAAGATTCATGGGTAAAGGCATATATTGTAAAACACCATGAACATTCTCCCATGACCCTCCAAAACACAAATCTATCCAAACATGATCAACATTAGATGATTTCATTATTGTAAATTAATTTACTAAACAAATGAGCTGCGAAACTAAAACCTGTTGCCGGATGTCGTTAGATATAGGAACGGATGTCGCCGGAGAGAGTGATAGATGGAGATGGAATGAGTTGCGATTTAAGGATTTAGGTTATGAGTTGCTTCTGTTGCGTAGTTATATACCCAAAACATTTGTGTTGCGAAACTAAAACCTGTTGCGAATTTGAAATTCAGTGTTGCGACAGTCAGAATCGCGTTGCGATAGTCAAAATCTCGTTGCGATAGTCAGAATCGCATTGCGATAGTCATAATCGCATTACGATTTACATATTCGCATTGCGATTTACATATTCGCATTGCGATTTACATATTCGCATTACGAATTTGGAAAATCGCAATGCGATAGTCAGAATCGCGTTGCGAATATGGAAACTGATTTGCGATACCGGAGATCGCGTTGCGAATTATCGATCGCATTGCGATTTAGTTGGTCATTTTGGCAAATCCAAAAAAAAGTTGGTTAAAATCGTATATTATAAGGCATTTTTTGTCACTGAGGTTATTTTCTCTATAAATAATAGGATATTATTTTATTTTATTTTCAATAAAATTAGATTAGTCGGTCATTAGATCAGATACCAATGATTAATTCAAAAAATAACATCAAAGGAAACGTAAATATTATCTTTAGTGGTCTTAAAAATTAAGGTTTGGATATTTTCCTCAATATAAATAATAGGATAGTATTTTATTTCAATTTCAATAAAATAATAGGGTAAAGTTCCTAAGTGTTCTCTCGACTATAGAGCGAAGTTTTGTAGAGTCTGTTGACTATTAAAAGTTACATAATGATCATTTGACTATATGGTGTTGCTTTGTTGAGATCCCCGACTATTAAAAGTTACAAAATGATCTCCCAACTATTTAGTATGTTTTAAACTCATCATTTTATGTTAAAAAAATGGGTAAAGTATAGTAATGGTCACTGAACATTTCTGAAATTTGCATTTAGGTCCCCCAACATTTAAAACTTGCAATACAGTCCCCCAACATTTATTCTGTTTGCAATATGGTCCCCCAACTTAAACCACAGTTAGAAAATTAGGTTAAATTATATAAACGATCATTGAACTTTTCAGTCACTTGAATTTCGGTCCCCCAACTTTTAAAACTTGCAAAACAGTCATCAATTTCATTCTAAACCCCAATTTCCAAAGTAATTCAATTTTATTCTAAACCCTAAATTCTAAAATACTTCAATTAAATTCTAAAATACTTCAATTTAAGGTAATATAGGCTTGAAGAAAGAGTTCAAGGCACAGACACAACGAATAAAAATATATTTATATAAATGTATATTTATATTTAGATGTATAAATAAAAAATATATTCATATATTAATGTATGAATCATTTATATTTTTTGAATATTTTATTTTTAATAAGAAATTAAAATTATTAATTATATTAGAAATACTCAACTTAAGATTATATATATAATCATGAATTATAAATATGAAAAATATAATTATTAAATTTAGTTTAAAATATATAAATCTTAAATTTATTCTTTTAAAATATTGTATCAACTAATATTTAAAAAATATATTAAATCTATCAAACAATTTATCAAATATAATATTTTTTATTGTAAAAAATATAATATTTTCCCATCATTTATTGCTTTCAAATTTTTTGCCGAAGTTCAAATCTCATTATTTCCATTTTACATTATATTCTTTTTTTTCTGGCATTGGTCATACTATTAGTATATGTATTATTGTATATCTCTTAACACAAACGATGGTGTTAGCTTAGTGGCTCCACCCTATATCTTTCATTTGCGTGACTCAGGTTTGAGTTTGCCCAAGACCCAAATTTTACTTCTTTGTAACTTAATTTTCTTCTAATTAGGAGGTGACATATGTCACCAATAACACATATCATGATCATGTGTTAACACATGTCAGATCCTGATTAAATGATTAATTTATTAAATTTTATTTAATTTAGGACCAAATTGATAGCATATATAAATAATTAGGTGGTAACACGTGTCACCAATGACACGTGTCATGATCATGTGCTAACACATGTCAGATCCTAATTAAATGATTAATTCATTAAATTTTATTTAATTTAGGACCAAATTGATTATATAAATAATAAAGACTGAATGTATAATAATGTCAATTCATTTTAACTGCCACATCATCATTTTTATCAATTGGTAACGACTAGTGGCTTAGTTGAAACAGTTAAATAATTATGTGATATGATTGATAAATTTAAAAGATCGATGACAAAAGTAAAAAGGGCTAGATAGTTAAATTGTCAACCGAGTAGTTTACACTTTTATTTATACGTCAAAATAACATTTTATAAATTTAAAATTCGAATTATTTTCAACCTCTTTTATATCCTAACTACTTTTTTTTAATTAAAAAATTTCTTCAACAGATAAGAATTATACTATTATATTTATATAAAAAATATGTATCGCATGAAATAAGATGAAATTAAATAATAATAACTTTGACATAATTGAATTTAATTTAAGTATTTTGGAATTTAGGGTTTAGAATAAAATTGAATTACTTTGGAAATTGGGGTTTAGAATGAAATTGATGATTGTTTTGCAAGTTTTAAAAGTTGGGGGACCTAAATTCAAGTGACTGAAAAGTTCAATGACCATTTATATAATTTATCCTAATTTTCTAACTGTGGTTTAAGTTGGGGGACCATATTGCAAACGGAATAAATGTTGGGGGATTGTATTGCAAGTTTTAAATGTTGGGGGACCTAAATGCAAGCTTCTGAAATGTTCAGTGACCATTACTATACTTTACCCTAAAAAAAATAATGACGGTCTGAGCTGGTTGTTAGCCTACTACTTGAGATATGATAAAATCTAATCTCAAAATCTTAAAAAACTATCATATCTCAATTAACAAATAAACATCCAACTTATACTGTTGTTAAAATTTTAATAAAAAATGACGAGTTTGAAACATAATATATAATCAGATGATAATCTTATAATTTTTAATAGTCGATAGGTTCAATAAAGAAATATCAATTTTTTTTAAAAAAAAACCCATGTACATGGAGCTTTTAATCCAGTTCCAGGTCCATCCAAGAGTTCTATGGGTTGAATAATGGCAGTAATCCATTTCAATTCTTTTTGTTCCCTTCCTGTTTTAGCCTAAAAGCCATACAATCAAAGCCCAAAATCGAATCATGGAAAGTATCTCAGAAAACCCTAGGAATCAATATAATTGTTAAGAAATTGCTCAAAGACTAGGTCTTTTAACTTCGCCGCTTTGTATCTTCTAAACCACAGTGACAGCTAAGGTACTCTATTTATCTATCTCTGCATTCCCTTTGTTTTTCCCCCTCTTTTTTTTTTCTTATTGAATTGACTCAATGAAAACTCCGTGATTCGGTGCGAAGATGAGTCGTGGAGCAGCCGCGGGACCCAAGGGGAAGAAGAAGGGAGCGTCCTTCACCATCGACTGTTCTAAGCCGGTTGAGGATAAGATCATGGACATATCCTCACTGGAAAAGTTCCTACAAGAAAGGATCAAGGTCGGTGGTAAAGCAGGTGCTCTTGGCGACTCCGTCACTGTCACCCGTGACAAGAGCAAAATCACCGTCACCTCTGATTCCAACTTCTCCAAGAGGTACTTTTCATTTTTGTTTTTTGATCATTTAGTTCATTACGATACCATCTGCTCCCTTCCATGAATTTTTTGCTTGAAAATGTTTTGAATGTGTAGTTATGATGGTTTAATCTTTTAATTTTATGGTTTATGTCGGATTGTTTTGAATATAGAGCCCAATTTGAACTGGATCTTTAGAAGAAATGGATTTTTGTTTGCGGTATAACTTAAATATTTAGACACACTACTACTGTTGTTTTGTAGCTGTTGTATCACTTTTTGTAGCCTCACATCAGCACCTCAAGAAGCCATAATTTGGTTAATGATGGTGTGTAAGTAAAAGTCTCAGGCTTTTATGATCCATTTGAATAATGAAATGCCTACCAACCAAATAAGCATTTCATTTTTTAACTGCTATCAAAACCTCTAGCATTTCTTTTTTCTTTACCGACAATGATTGATACTTAAGCACGTAAAGCTTTGCTGAAAAATGATATAGGTCTTCTATCTCTAAACACATTTCCCACTCCTGTTTTTGAAGCATCTGTCGCTACCACAAATACCTTAGTGAATCCCGGGCAGTGTGAGTACAGGAGTGGTACTGACAGCCTGCTTAAGATTCTCAAAGGCTAACTGAGGCTGGCCACTCCATACAAACCCACCCTTCTTCAATAGCTTTCAACCCATAACCTTCAATGGATTTTCTATAATATCCCGTAAGGCCGAGGAATCCTCTCAAATCCTTGATTGTTTCTAGTTCCGTTCAATCCACAATACATTGAATTTTCTTATAATCCATTGCTACCCATTTCTCACAAATCACGACCCTAATAATTGACCTCCAAAATCACATTTACTCCTTTACAAAAACAGCTGTTTCCGTTGCAAAACTTGAGAAAAGTAATGACTGAAATGAGCTGCCAATCCTTGGAATTAACTAGAATGTCTTGAAGAAACTAAGATGTATCTCCTCATATATGGCCTGAATACGGAGTTCATTAACCTTTATCATGCAAGGATTAATGGAGTTCGTTAATCCTTGATTGTTTATCATGCAACTAACTTTAGCTTCACCTACTTAGTGTTATGGATGGGACCTTTGTAACTTTATCTTTACCTACGTAGCGTTATTTATGACAACACTGAAGGCTTGTTTCTCAAAACATTCTCAGTTGCCACCTGAGAGCTTTTGCTTATGCTGTTTTATCCCTTCATTGGATGTCTGAAACCTTCAATCAATCTAGTTTTTTTTTTTCTTTTCCCTTTTTGGTTGTTTGTCTTGATATTAAAATATTTGAGCCTCTTAGCTGATGGTTTCTTTATCTTTCTTATTGGTGTTTAGGTATCTTAAGTATTTGACCAAGAAGTATTTGAAGAAGCACAATGTCAGGGATTGGCTTCGAGTGATTGCTTCCAACAAGGATCGTAATTTTTATGAACTACGATACTTCAATATTGCTGAGAATGAGGGTGAGGAGGAAGAGTGAATATTGGTTTAGCCTTTTCCCTCACCTGTTTGTTTGGTTTAATTGTTATGAGGAACCTAGTTTATCTATTTCAGGTGTCAAATCTTTGAACTTGATTTCATTGTTATTTCGAACCCTACTTTGTTTTTCAGTGAAGTTTTGGTTTAATGTAGTGGTCTTTTTAGATGTCATAAAAAGGAGCTGATTATAACTTTCACAAGCATTTAATTGATTTTGCACTTAGCTTTTTTTTTTAACAAAGGCTGGTACTAGCTGGCAGTACTCTCTGTAGTGACGGTTATGACCCAGGACTTGGCATTTGTGAGATGAGGTATCAAACAGGTGGTCCTGGCCATCTGATTTTTTCTAAAGATCTTTAGTTGCATGCATTGAACAAGATTTTGAGGATAGCATGTATTCCATTTTTCACTATGAAATTCAGATTTAAACTGTCTTGCAATCCAGTGCCCGAAATATTTGGAAGTTTCAAATTTTAGTTAAAGTTGGAACTTTAAAATTGAGAGGAGCTGAATCAATTCAGGCCGTGGAGAACACAGAGCCTCCAATGGCATAGCCTTGGTCAAAATTGATCCAGGACCTAGGGTCATATCTACAGCATCTGACCCTACATTATCCCATTCAAAGCATTGTATAGCTGTACCAAGTGCCAACAGAACCAACCGGAAGCACATGGTAGCGTCGGGGCAAGATCTTCTCCCGAGTCCAATGGAAAATTTTGGATCGATCTTTCACCTCCAAAGTTCCCTCGAATCTTTCAGGGTTGAACTTGGTTGGTTCGTCCCATAAACTAGGATCATTTTGTATTTCTCGAGCATTGACAATCAAAGTTTTACCTTTAGGTACCTCGTATCCGCCCACCATAGAGTCTTGGGATGAATAATGAGGCACTTGAAACGGTACTGCTGGATATAAACCTGAGCGTCTCATTTATAACTCAACGAATATAAGGAAGCTTGGCGAGATCCAAGTCATTCAGCAGGTGCTCGTGCCCTACATGGCTATCGATCTTGGCTCTCACTTTCTTCAAAACCTCTGGATGATTTAATAGGAGTGACATTGCCCATTCTAGTGTAACTTTTGGCATTTCAGCGCCTGCAATGAACATCATCTGGGGCACATGTTGCATGCCAATTGTCGAAACGGTTTTTTTCCGGGGTGAGATTTTGAAAACCACACTAATTTTTAATTATTCTCTTCAGATTAAATTTAAATTAAAAGTTAATGTGATTAAAAAAACCTCTCGTTTCGAAAATTTGGAAATTCTTTTACGATAAAAATACGGTTCGAGGAGTCGCCACCAATATTTGATTAAGGTGTGATTGGGCACCCAAAAACGTTGTCATTTTAAATAAAAATTAATTTTAATTAAAACAACAAATTAAGGTTTACGTTACCAGAAAATGAGTTCGGGAGTCGATTACGCGTGGGGAAGGGTAAGCATTTCCACAACGCCCTAAATCGGTACCAAGTCGATTAATTAATTGTCTTTGCGATAAAATGTACAAGTTCAAATTTAATTTGATTTATAATCCCCAACAAAACAATATATGAATTTTACAACCTTCAAAAGCACTAAAACAGATTAAATTAAAATTATCCTGCCTTTTAGAAAGATAAAGAATATTCGATTATTTAAAAATATCGAGACCAGATCTTAGAGGTCTAACAACCTTTTCTCGATAAACTTAAATAGCCGAACATTTCTTTTTCTTCCATTCTCAAATTTTAAAGTGATGAATTAATTTTTAGGTGTTACTAATGGGATAGACTTTTATTTTAAAATTATCAAAAGTAACTTTCTTATACGTTAAGACAGTCACTTTACGTCAATATTAAAATGCTCGAATATTACCCTTAGTTAATTTATTTTGGTTTGAGTCAAGATATGCTTATGAGGATATCATGCAAAATTAATTAAAAGATGCCCTGTACCTAATTTATATATCAAAATAAATGCAACTATATATGTAATTTATAAACAATCAAAAACTAATAATAACTAAATATTGCTAAGAAAATATATATACACATTCTAATAATAACATACAAAGGAAATAAACATTAAATATATATATACATAGATAGAATATAATATATACGTAAGGGACATATAATAAATATATATAATATGTACAATGGCGTGGGTTCAAATCCCACTTTCACTACCATAATTAATGTGTGCATACATATATATATATATATATATATATAATATAGAGAAAATAACCTCAGTGACCAAAAATCCAAGATGATATACGATTTTGACCAATTTTTTTTGGATTTGCGAAAATGACCAACAAAATCGCAATGCGATCTCTAATTCGCATTGTGATCTCCACTATCGCAAATTCGCGTTGCATTTCGCGTTGCGATAGTTGAAAATCGCGTTGCGATTTTCCATTTCGCGTTGCGATAGTTGAAAATCGCGTTGCGATTTTCCATTTCGCGTTGCGATAGTTGAAAATCGCGTTGCGATTTTCCATTTCGCGTTGCGATAGTTGAAAATCGCGTTGCGATTTTCCATTTCGCGTTGCGATAGTCTACAGTCGCGTTGCGATTTTCCATTTCGCGTTGCGATAGTTGAAATTCGCGTTGCGATTTTCCATTTCGCGTTGCGATAGTCTACAGTTGTCGTTGCGATTTTCCAAATTCGTTGTGATAGTTAAAAAAAAGATTTTGTTTCTTAAGAATTTTCTCTAAAAAGATAGTATCCGCGCGGACGTGTCGAAGACACGTATTACCACGACCACGACCACGACCACGACCACGACAACGACCACGACCCGACCCGAGACGAGACGGACGGCGGCGGCGGCGCGCGAGAGTCCCCCTTGTTCTCTATCACTCAACAAGGAAGTGGGAAAGCCAAGCCTTAAATACCATTCCCAATAGTCTTTCCAATACTATGTGGAATTTGAGCATTACCAACACTTGTTCCCAACACTTGTTCCCAATCACATTATATTGGAAACAAGTGTTGGTAATGCTCAATCCCACATTGTATTGGAAATACTATTGGGAATGGTATTTAAGGCTTGGCTTTCCCACTTCCTTGTTGAGTGATAGAGAACAAGGGGGACTCTCGCGCACCGCCGCCGCCGTCCGTCTCGTCTTGTCTCGGGTCGGGTCGGGTCGGGTCGGGTCGTGGTCGTGGTCGTGGTCGTGGTCGTGGTCGTGGTAATACGTGTCTTCGACACGTCCGCGCGTATACTATCTTTTTAGAGAAAATTCTTAAGAAACAAAATCTTTTTTTCAACGAATTTGGAAAATCGCAACGACAACTGTAGACTATCGCAACGTGAAATGGAAAATCGCAACGCGATTTTCAACTATCGCAACGCGAAATGGAAAACCACAACGCGATTTTCAACTATCGCAACGCGAATTAGAGATCGCATTGCAATAGTGGAGATCGCAATGCGAATTAGAGATCGCATTGCGATTTTGTTGGTCATTTTCGCAAATCCAAAAAAAGTTGGTCAAAATCGTATATTATCTAAGATTTTTGGTCACTGAGGTTATTTTCTCTATAATATATATACCATATGCTAAATAAAATAATATATATCCTTATAAATGATCAAAGCAATTACATGGTCAAAGTAATTAAATATTCAAGATGCTCCTCCAGCACATAATCCTCCTCCAAAATGATTTTATTGCTTTTGAATGGAAAGATGGAATATTTCCCCTGTTTTCAGTTGTTTTCTTAAAGAAAAATAAACACTCCTCTTTTCTGTTTTTTTTTTCCGAATAGGATTCCCCCCTCTTTAATCGCTCTCCTCCCCTTATTTTATCTCCATTTTCTTCACCAAATTCCTTTGTCGTTGTATGTTGATTTTCTTCATTTTGGTGAGACTTTGATTGGAGTAGGTAAAGTGAAATCCCAAAATTTTCGGGATTAAATTGCTTTCTTTTTCTTCTGACTTTGGTTGATGTTGATGATATTTTGATTTCTTGTTTGCTATTGGGTGTAGATTTAGTGGGGAGAATGGCGTGCGTTACTGGCTTCACGTGGGAGGCATGAGTGGTGGCAACCTTCTCTTATTTTCTTCTATTCCCCCTTTTTTTAATCCCCTCATTTTCAATCTTGCGTGTAGTTGGAGTTGTTGAATTGGGGTAGATGAAATGTTGACAGGACATGGTCTACTCAATTGGTAGTGCTTCACATGGGGTGCTGCAAAATATGTAATAATAATAAGTAATAATAATAATAATATTTATATTTAGGATGAAAAAAACGAGTGCCAACAGTTGCCCCTCTTTGTTCTATTTTTGTGTCAACAAGAATAGGGCAAAGACGAAGAGACAATGCGTTTTTTCGTCTGATTAACTTCATGGTTTGAAATATGATAAGGGATATGTTCCGCTGTCACTCAGGGAATATCAGATCTGGGGATGTTTATCTATTCCACTGTTCTTCAGGGAAGATTGAATCATGGTAGACTTGTTATTCCGATGTCTCTGAAGGGAATATCAAATCTTGAAGAAGAGAGATTTGTTCCGCTTACTCTGAAGGGAATATCAAATCTTTGAGAATAGAAATCTGTTCCGCTTACTCTGAAGGGACTATCAGATCTGAGGAAGTTGATCCATTGAATCGAAGCAGACTTGTTCCGCTTACTCTGAAGGGAATATCAAATCTTGGAAAAGATAGACATGCTCCGCTTACTCTGAAGGGAATATCATATCTGGGGGAGTTAATCCATTGAATCGAAGCAGACTTGTTCCACTTACTCTGAAGGGAATATCAAATATTAGAAAAAAGAGACATGTTCCGCTTACTCTGAAGGGAATATCTCATCTGGGGGAGTTAATCCATTGAATCAAAGCAGACTTGTTCCACTTACTCTGAAGGGAATATCAAATCTTAGAAAAAAGAGACATGTTCCGCTTACTCTGAAGGGAATATCACAGCTGGGGGAGTTGATCCATTGAATCAGGATAGACTTGTTCCACTTACTTTGAAGGGAATATCAAATCTTGGATAAGAGAGACATGTTCCGCTTACTCTGAAGGGAATATCAGATCTGGAGGAATTGATCCATTGAATCGGGACCGAACCTGAAAATTAAACATTAACCTTTGTTAGTATGTGTTTGAGGATTCAAAAACATCATACCTGAAAGACTTGGGATGATAATTTTTTAA